ACCTCCCCTCTCACCTGGATGGCATGCCCCTGTCCCCTGTATGACATGCCTACCCTGTCCCCTGGATGGCATGCCTACCCTGTCACCTGGATGACATGCCTCCCCTGTCCCCTGTATGGCATGCCTCCCTTGTCCCCTGTATGGCATGCCTACCCTGTCCCCTGGATGGCATGCCTACCCTGTCACCTGGATGACATGTCTTCCCTGTCCCCTGTATGGCATACCTCCCCTGTCCTCTGTATGGCATGCCTACCCTGTCCCCTGGATGGCATGCCTACCGTCACCTGGTGACGTCTCTGTCACCTGGATGACATGCCCCCTGTATGGCATGCCTCCCCGTCCCCTGGATAGCATGCCTCACCTGTCCCTGGATGGCATGCCTCCCTGTCACCTGATGGCACACTCCCCTGTCCCCTGGATGGCATATCCCCTGTCCCCTTGATGCATGCCTACCCTGTCCCCTGATGGCATGCCTACCCTGTCACCTGGATGACATGCCTCCCTGTATGGCATGCCTCCCGTCCCCTGGATAGCATGCCTACCCTGCCCCTGGATGGCATGCCTGCCCTGTCACCTGGATGGCATACCTCCCGTCCCTGGATGGCATACCTCCCCTGTCCCTTGATGGCATGCCTACCCTGTCCCCTGATGGCATGCCTACCCTGTCACCTGGATGGCATACCCCTGTCCCCTGGAAGGCATGTCCCCTGTCACCTGGATGGCATACTTCTGTCCCCGGATGGCATACCCCCTGTCCCCTGATGGCATGCCTACCTGTCCCCTGGATGGCATATCCTGTCACCTGGATGCATACCCCTGTCCTGGAAGGCATGCCCCTGTCACCTGGTGTGGCTTCTGTCCCTGGATGGCATTCCTGTCACCTGGATGGCATGCCTACCCTGTCCCCTGATGACCTACCTCTGTCCCTGGATGGCATACCTCCCCTGTCACCTGGATGGCATGCTTACCTTGTCCCTGGATGGTATGCCTCCTCTCCCCATGGCATGCCCCCTGTCACTGGATGGCATACTCTGTGGTCATCCCTGTCACCTGATGACATGCCTCTGTCCCTGGATGGCACTACCCCTGTCACCTGGATGGCATACCTCCCCTGCCACCTGATGTATACTGTCCCCTGTATGGCATGCCCCCTGTCACCTGATGACATGCCTCCTGTCACCTGGATGACATGCCTACCCTGCCGCCCATATCTTTAAGTCACACCAAACTTCACCTATTCACGCGACGTTACTAAAATATTCATCATAATGTGAAAGTAAATTCATTTCTCCATGTGTCAATTCTTGGTCCGGGCGACACACTGGTTTTGGTGAGTCAATATATCAATGTGATGATGTGGGCGTGTGGTGGGTGGTGAGGGCGTGTGTGGCGGTAGTGAGAGCGTGTAATGTAGGCGTGTGGGCGTGGTGGGCGTGTGGTGTGGGCGTGTGGTGTAGGAGTTTGGAGGCGTTTGATGTGGGCATGTGGTGTTGTGTGATGTGGGCATGTGATGTGAGCTTGTGATGTGTGTGGTGGGCGTGTGGGATGGTGGACGTGTGGATGAGGTGGGATGTGGTGGGACGAGGGTGGGTGTGGTGTGGACGTGTGGTGGACGAGTGGTGTGGGCGTGTGGTGGACGTGGTGGTGTGGACGAGGTGGGATGTGGTGTGGACGAGTGGTGGACGAGTGGTGGATGGTGGACGTGTGGGGTATATAGGAGGTGGAAGATGGATGTGGTGGAGGATGGGCGGGTGGGATGTGTGGGTGTGATGGTGGTGGATGTGTGGACGAGTGGTGGGTGTGAAGGGCGTGGTGAGGATGTGGTGGGGCGGTGGATGAGGTGGACGTGTGGTGGGACGAGTGGTGGGTGTGGATGGTGTGGATGAGTGTGTGTGGGCGTGGTGGGATGTGTGGGCGTGGTGGACGTGTGGATGTGGTGGACGAGTGGTGGATGTGTGTGGATGGTGTGGGCATATGGTAGGAGGTAAGATGGACGTGGGTGAGGACGTGTCGGGCGTGGTGGATGTGTGTGGGTGTGATGACGTGTGGTGGGTGTGGTGTGGGTGTGATGTGGGCGTGTGTGGGCTTGTGGTGTGGGCGTGGTGGATGGTGTGGTCGTGGTGTGGTCGTGTGGTGTGGACGGTGTGGTCTGTGGGAGTGGTGGATGTGGTGTGGGCGTGGTCGTGATGTGGGCGTGTGGTGTGGTTGTGTGGTGTGGGCGTGTGGTGTAGGAGGGTGGCTTACCTGACCTCCATCAACACACAGTTACCTGACCCCGTGCACTGTGGACTGACCTAGACACTGTTGCAGGTAGTGTACACGTGTGTCACCCTCACCACAACCCTTCCACGCACACACCCTACTACTGACTCACTCTCAGGCCACACCATCAGTTCCTTCTCGATTTGTGTATTTTGGTATGTGGCAATCCGTCACTACCACACCATCACACTACTACCACAAATAATAATGGAAGCCCCTCGAAATCCAGTATGGCCGGCCCATGAGCCACCTAGGCGTTAATTTGTTTGAGGTGTAGAAGCTGTCGCCAACACAATAACCACACGCTAGGTTAACGAGTTGCATGACCCAGTGTCAAGGAACAGTCCGGGAAGACCGGACAACTCGCCAACTGCACTGGCTAACCATTACCCAGGAATACGACCCGTAAATCGCTTAACATCCAGGTTCTCAATTACTGCTGGGTAGACAGAGGCAAATGGCGTAAAGAAACTTGCCCATAGTTCACCCTGCCCGGAGATCGAACCCGGGTCAGCTCACTCTGTGGCGAGCATTCTGACCAATACACCACACAAGGTTGAGAGCAGGAAGACCTGGGAATCACCTGAAGAGTAGACACCCTAGTTTATCTCACCTGAAGATTTTACACTAACCTAACCTAACCTAACCTAACCTAACCTAACCTAACTTAACCTAACCAGACCAGCTACTGGGTGAAGAGATGAGTGTGGTCTAACGATGTTCAAGTATACGGGCGACTGCTTAATAACAACAAGAAATAACAATAACAACAATAACAATCATAACAAACGGATGAAAGAGAAACAAACCGTCGCGGAATAAAAAAAATCTTGTAGAGTTGGGGAGGAGGAGGAGGAGGAGGAAAAGGAGGAGGAGGAAGAGGAGGAGGAGGAGGAGGAGGAGGAGGAGGAGGAGGAGGAGGAGGAATGTTAGAACCCCTTCAGCGCCTCCTTCAGGGTAGTAAAACACAGCCCCACACGGTCACAGCAGCTAGTTAGTCTACGTCTCCCTGCCAGCCTAGCGGGTCCTGGGGGCAAGATAGTGCTATACCCCTCAACGGTGACCTCTTTAAGCCGTCCTTCTCATGTTGGGTGTTAGGGAATTTAACTCTTATATAATATTTTACACACACACACACACACACACACACACACACACACACACACACGCACACACAAACATACACATTCTCACAAACATATAATCAACTTGAGTACGATGACTTAACCTTGAGTACTATGACTTAACCCTTGAGTACGATGACTTAACCTCGAGTCGATGACTTAACCCCTTGAGTATGATGACTTAACCCCTTGAGTACGATGACTTAACCCTTGAGTATGATGATTAACTTCGAGGCGATGACTTAACCCTTGAGTACGATGACTTAACCCCTTGAGTAATGATGACTTAACCCCTTGAGATGATGACTTAACCCCTTGAGTACGATGACTTAACCCTTGAGTACGATGACTTAACCCTTTGAGTACGATGACTTAACCCCTGAGTACGATGACTTAACCCCTTGGAGTACGATGACTTAACCCCTGAGTACGATGATCAAACCCTTGAGTACGATGACTTAACCCCTTGAGCATGATGACTTAACCTTGAGTACGATGACAACCCCTTGAGTACGATGACTTAACCCCTGAGTACGATGACTAACCCTTGAGTACGATGACTTAACCTTTGAGTACGATGTGAGGTGGTTCTCCCAACCTCCTCGTTCCTCACCTCACTCCTTTTCCTCACGCACCTCTTCCTCCCTCCTCCCCCTCCCCACCCCTCCCCATCTCCTTCCCTCACCTCCTCCCCCTCCCCCCCCATATACACACAGCTCGACAAGAAGTAAACAGTTTGGCGAGAAGAAAAACTAACTTGAAAAAAAATTGTTAACTTGGGGAGAGTGACTGATGAGGGGAGGGGAGGGGAGGGGGAGGGGGTGAGGAAAGGAGGAGGGGAAAGAGTGAGGGGGAGAGGAGGAAGGATGTAAGGAAGGAGGAAGGGAGATGGTTGTATAGGAGGGGAGGGAGGGAAGGGAGGGAAGAGAGGGGAGGGGAGGAGAGGGGAAGAGAGGGGAAGAGAGGGGAGGGGAGGGGGATCAAGGGACTTTATAAACACCCTATTCATCTCTTCAACACAAATTTCCTTTCCTTACCTTACCTTAACTAACTAACTACCTAATTACCTCGCATTCGTCGTTACCATGGAGACTAAACTATACCAATTCTAATGTACTGTAATTTACACCTCTCGTCACCCTCCTTAATCTCTAAATCATCTTACGTGTAATTTAAGATACAACCATAATGACTTGGTGTTGTTGGCATTTTATGTTATGTAATGACCACCACACGCAACCTAGCTTATACCTTGTTATATATCGTATATTTACAACGATTTTTGAAGGTATATTTATCCTTCTGTAGTAATAATTCCCAGGTATAATGATATATATTGATGGATGATCGATTGTTATGGGTCAATAGACATATTATTTATAGACTCGTAACTTCAATGACCCGCCAAAAATTCCATCTTATTAATTCTTATTTACCTTTTAGTATTATAATATCCAAATTTATCTACCAATGTCCCTTTTTCTTCATTAATCAATTTTATAAGAGATTTCTATTAATTTTCATGATATGTTATAAAATTAAACTGGTAGAAACGGATTCAAATAAAAAAATAAATAAATAAAAACAGCTGCCATAATGGACGGTGTTCGCGTGATGGCGGGTGATCAGCAGCAAGGGGGGGGTCATGGTGAGGGGCCCTCCTACCTCCCTCGCTGTCTTATTTACATCAATCTCGGGGGATTCAATTATGGATGTTCATGACAGATCGCCGTGGTTAGTGGCGATTAAGAACGGGGGAGGGATGGGGGTGGAAGGGAGAGGGAGGATGAGACTTTAGTTAATTATGAAGTAAAACCAAAGCGGTGATTAAAACATACCCGCTGATTGGTTAATGTGAGATCCTGAGATAGCCAATCAACATCGAGGATAGAGGTTGATTGGTTGATGTGGGGTCCCGAAGACAACCAATCAACATCAAGGGTTGAGGTTTCTTCCCTCCAAGATACAAGGATATATTTCTTCCTGTATCTACGACGGTTAAAACGCTGTGTCAATAACCCGTCTCTTCCCCCGTGTTCTGTGACTAATTCTTAAACGTTGTGGTAAAAGATCTCACACGAAATACTATTCCTGAAGGCCTCTACTGCGGTCGTCTTCAGCCCGGGAAAATATAGTCATTACGGGTCGTTTCCATCGTTGGCTTTGAAGATATGAATAAAATTGTCCTCTCCACCTAAACTTAACCTCTACACCGTGGTTCCTATTACAGGTTCTAAGAGGTTCTGATCTCCCACGTTTACAGCATTAAGTTCAAGTATAGAAATAATTCTTGCACTTTCAACTTCTTTTGACTCACATTGTAAAAATTAATTTTCCAGATTTCCAGACCTTTATATACAAACTTTTCCCTTCTGCATGTCTTCCAGGCACCCAAGAACCTCTGTAGTGTCTTCCAGGCACCCAAGAACCAACCTCTGTAGTGTCTTCCAGCCACCCAAGATCCTCTGTAGTGTCTTCCAGGCACCCAAGAACCAACCTCTGTAGTGTCTTCCAGCCACCCAAGATCCTCTGTAGTGTCTTCCAGGCACCCAAGAACCTCGGCAGTGTCTTCCAGCCACCCAAGAACCTCTCTAGTGTCTTCCAGCCACCCAAGAACCTCTGTAGTGTCTTCCACCCACCTAAGAACCTCTCTAGTGTCTTCCAGCCACCCAAGAACCTCTCTAGTGTCTTCCAGCCACCCAAGAACCTCTGTAGTGTCTACCCACCTAGAACCTCTGCAGTGTCTTCCAGCCACCCAAGAACCTCTCTAGTGTCTTCCAGGCACCCAAGAACCTCTGCAGTGTCTTCCAGCCACCCAAGAACCTCTGTAGTGTTTCCAGGCACCCAAGAACCTCTGTAGTGTTTCCAGGCACCCATGAACCTCTGCAGTGTCTTCCAGCCACCCAAGAACCTCTGCAGTGTCTTCCAGCCACCCAAGAACCTCTGTAGTGTTTCCAGGCACCCAAGAACCTCTGTAGTGTTTCCAAGCACCCAAGAACCTCTGCAGTGTTTCCAGGCACCCAAGAACCTCAACAATGTCTTCCAGGATTCCGAAAACCTTTGCAGTATTTTCCTGGCACCCTAGAACCTCTGCAATGTCTTCCAGGAGGTCTTCCAGAACCTGACGTGTTCATCTGGGCCTCCAACCCTCTGCCAATTCCGCCAAGGAGACATCAGGGCTCATAAAGGGCTTTCCATACACCTCCCCCACCCACCATATGCCCTTTTTTAACCATTCCTGGCCCCTGGATCAGGTGGCATTAAGAAGCACATTCCAGCCCTAACAAGCAAGTGCCAGGCCCTAAAGACCAATTCCAGACCGTAATAAGGATGTTCCAGTCCCTAAAAAACCCATTCCAGACCGTAAAGACTCATCCCAGACCATAATAAGTACGTACATCCCAGACCCCCAAAGACTTCAGTATCAAAACACATTCCAGGTCCCTAGATATTAACATTCCAGGACCTACTATATATATATATTTCGAGCCCCAATAAGCAGGACCCTAAGCCCCAATAAACACATTCCATGCTGGTGGAGTTCTCTTATAGACACGCGGGAGCCCTGAGCAGCGGCCCTCCCCGTTAACGACAGGCCAGCGGCGGTAAAGCAGATGAGGCGCTGTAAATGAAGTCATTTTGAGCTGCGGTGTCCCACGGCGCTCGTCATTACCCGCTGCTACCGCCCGTCTACCCTCTAACCGCGCCCACAGCTGGAACATTGTCTCCCTCATCACGCCCACAGCTGGAACATTGTATCCCTCATCACGCCCACAGCTGGAACATTGTCTCCCTCATCAAGCCCACAGCTGGAACATTGTCTCCCTCATCACGCCCACAGCTGGAACATTGTATCCCTCATCACGCCCACAACTGGAACATTGTCTCCCTCATCACGCCCACAGCTGGAACATTGTCTCCCTCATCATGGCCACAGCTGGAGGGAACATCATCAGCTGGCCACGCCCACACCTACATCATCAACTGACCACGCCCACACTAATACCACCAGCTGACCACGCCCACACTTCTACCATCAGCTGACCACGCCCACACCTACATCACCAACTGAACACGCCCACAATTGGACCATCACTCCACCCACGTAAATCTCTATCACCCACCACAACCCCACCCACGGCGTCTATTACACCCACGCACCTCAAAGCCACCCACGCCGCCCACTGCTACACCCACGCACCTCAAAGCCACCAAACACACCCACTACTACACCACACACCTCAAAGCTACCCACCACACCCACTACTACACCCACGCACCTCAAAGCCACCCACCACACCCACTACTGCATCTACGCACTCCAAATCCACCCACCACACCACTACACCCACGCACCTCGAAGCCACCCACCACCCACTACTGCATCTACACTCCCAAATCCACCCAACACACCCACTACTACACCCACGCACCTCAAAACCACCAAACACGCCCACTACTGCACCCGCACAAAGCCACCCAACACACCCACTACTGCTCCACGCACCTCAAAGCCACCCAACACACCCACTACTACACCCACGCACCTCAAAGCCACCCACCACACCCACTGCATCTACGCACTCCAAATCCACCCAACACACCCACTACTACACCCACGCACCTCAAAGCCACCAAACACACCCACCACTACACCCACACACCCCAAACCACCCAACACACCCACTACTACACCCACGCACCTCAAAGCCACCAAACACACCCACTACTACACCCACGCACCCCAAAGCCACCCAACACACCCACGCACCTGAAAGCCACACATCTAAACCCAATACTACACCCACGCACCCCAAAGCCACCCACCACCCTTACGCCGTCGCCCATACTGTCGCTCGCACCTCATCGTCACTCACCACAAACTACCCCATCTTCACCGCCCACCTCGTAGCCACCCAGCCGCCCATCACAACAATAAGAGGCCAGCAGCACGCAAGACTGTGGCCAGCTAATTGTAGCCACGAAGAGGAGTGACATGATGGCCACCTCCACCTACTCCCAGGAAACCTTCCTCCACACACTTGAGACACTACAGGCTACTTCCTCCACACACTTGAGACACTACAGGCTACTTCCTCCACACACTTGAGACACTACAGGCTACTTCCTCCACACACACAAGACACTACAGGCTACTTCCTCCCACACACACAAGACACTACAGGCTACTTCCTCCACACACACAAGACACTACAGGCTACTTCCTCCACACACACACAAGACACTACAGGCTACTTCCTCCACACACACTTAAGACACTACAGGCTACTTCCTCCACACACACTTAAGACACTACAGGCTATCTTCCTCCACACACACAAAGACACTACAGGCTACTTCCTCCACACACACCTTAAGTCACTAAGGCTACTTCCTCCACACTTAAGACACTACAGGCTACTTCCTCACACACACTTAAGACACTACAGGCTACTTCCTCCACACACACTTAAGACACTACAGGCTACTTCCTCACACACATAAGACACTACAGGCTACTTCCTCCACACACACTTGAGACACTACAGGCTACTTCCTCCACACACACCTTGAGACACTACAGGCTACTTCCTCCACACACACTTGAGACACTACAGGCTACTTCCTCCACACACATTAGGACACTACAGGCTACTTCCTCCACACACACTTGAGACACTACAGGCTACTTCCTCCACACACTTAAGACACTACAGGCTACTTCCTCCACACACACTTAAGACACTACAGGCTACTTCCTCCACACACACCTTGGACACTACAGGCTACTTCCTCCATACACTTAAGACACTACAGGCTACTTCCTCCACACACTTAAGACACTACAGGCTACTTCCTCACACACACTTAGACACTACAGGCTACTTCCTCCACACACACTTAAGACACTACAGGCTACTTCCTCCCACACACTTAAGACACTACAGTACTTCCTCCACACACACCTTAAGACACTACAGGCTACTTCCTCCACACACACTCAAGACACTACAGGCTACTTCATCCACACACTTAGACACTACAGGCTTCCTCCACACACACTTAAGACACTACAGGCTACTTCCTCCACACACCTCCAAGACACTACAGGCTACTTCCTCCACACACTACTGGCTACTTCCTCCACACACTTAAGACACTACAGGCTACTTCCTCCACACACTTAAGACACTACAGGCTACTTCCTCCACACACTTAAGACACTACAGGCTACTTCCTCCACACACTTAAGACACTACAGGCTACTTCCTCCACACACACACAAGACACTACAGGCTACTTCTCCACAAACACTTAAGACACTACAGGCTACTTCCTCCACACACACAAGACACTACAGGCTACTTCCTCCACACACACTCAAGACACTACAGGCTACTTCCTCCACACACACTTGAGACACTGCAGGCTACTTCCTCCACACACTTAAGACACTACAGGCTACTTCCTCCACACACACTTAAGACACTACAGGCTACTTCCTCCACACACACCTTAAGACACTACAGGCTACTTCCTCCACACACTTAAGACACTACAGGCTACTTCCTCCACACACACTTAAGACACTACAGGCCTTCCTCCACACACACTCAAGACACTACAGGCTACTTCCTCCACACACTACTGGCTACTTCCTCCACACACTTAAGACACTACAGGCTACTTCCTCCACACACTTAAGACACTACAGGCTACTTCCTCCACACACTTAAGACACGACAGGCTCACTTCCTCCACACACTTAAGACACTGCAGGCTACTTCCTCCACACACTTAAGACACTACAGGCTACTTCCTCACACTTAAGACACTGCAGGCACTTCCTTCATCAATCACTTATCACAATTAAGAAAACCCTGAGAATGTGCCTTAAGAATAACACAAGTGAAACAAGAGTGAGGAACAGAGGAGGAGGAAGAAGAGAGAGAGAGAGAGAGAGAGGAGGAGGAAGAAGAGAGAAGGAAAAGGAGGAGAAGAATGAAGAAGAAGGAGGAGGAGGTGGAGGAAGGAAGAGGAGGAGGAAAAAAGTAGGGAGAATGGAGGAAGAGGGAAGTGAAGAAGGAAGGGTGGAGGGAAGGGTGATAACGGCTGAGGAGAAGGAAGAAAAGAGAGGAGGAGAAGGTGAGAAAAAAGCCCTCCCTCAATGCAATTCCACCCCACCCCCACCTCACCCACCCACCCACCACACCCACCCCAACACACCCACCCCAACACACCCACCACCCCACACACCCAACCACCCCACCCACCCACCCACCACACCCACCCACCCACCACCCCACACACCCAACCCACCCACTCACCCACCCCAACACACCCCACCACCCACCCCACCACCCCACCCCCACCTCACCCACACCCTCACCCACCCACCAACCCACCCCAACACACCCACCCACCACCACCCCACACACCCACCCCACCCACCCACCCACCCCACCACACCCACCCACCACCCACACCCACCCCACCCCCACCCCCCCCACCTCACCCACCTCACCCACCCACCAACCCCACCCCAACACACCCACCCCACCCCACCCACCCACCCCACCACCCACCCACCCACCACCCCCACACACCCAACCACCCACCCACCCACCCCACCACACCCACCCACCCACCACCCCACCACCCACCCCACCCACCCACCCACCCCACCACCCACCCACCCACCACCCCACACACCCACCCCACCCCACCCACCCACCCCACCACACCCACCACCCACCACCCCACACACCCAACCCACCCCACCCCCACCCACCACACCACACCAAATACCATACTTAATATCACTACTATATACTTATAAAGTGGATATTTAAGTACCAC